CATAGTTTGAAATTTTTATTCAAGACATGTTACGACACTGATGACATGTTTTCTTTAACTAAGGTATCGCGCCGCGTTTCGCCGTCTCTGATAAAAAAAACACAAAAAAATTATAAACTAGATTTGCATAATACTTAAACAGAAAACATACTTGCAGAAATTATAGACATCATAGATGTAATTACAATAARAGCAATTACAGCTTTTACCAAAGAAAATTTAAACATGTTGCTTGTTTTGAGTTTAACAATGGAGAAAACAGTTCCTTGGTGACACTTTTATAGTTTGAGAAAGACATTGATAAGGATTGGAAAACACAGCAATTATTTCGAAATTATAGCTAAAAACTATACCTACATATCTAAATAACACCCCTCATTAAAATTTTATAAAAACTTCTGACGCAGACTAGTAGAAATAATATTATAATAATTAAAACATAAACTTGGTGCCTTAAACATTGGCGCCATATACCAGGTGTCCCAAGCACGCTTGGATATAGGAAATTAACATGAGAAATTAGTTTTATTTTTTCTGGCTGCAGGAATAACAGTAATTAAAATCTGATTAATGGAGCTTGTAGTGCTAGAAAAAGGCTATCTTATCGACATTTTTGTCAATTCTCCATTTGGGCGAAAACGGTCCTCAAAAAATCGAAATTTCAATTTGCCGGGTTAGCGTTACTAAGAAACGAACTATCAAGAGACACCCGGTATACAGGTGTCACAAAAGCAAACTGTAAGTTATAGAAAATGTCATTCTGAGAAAACAAGTTATTTTTTTTTCTATTTCCATTCGTAAGAGTTGCAGCGTATGAAAGAATAATAATGAATTTTGTACAAGTCGTGATAAATTAAGAAGGATGACGTTTATGAAGCAATTGCTTAGCTCCAAATCTCATTCAATCGAAGCAATGCGTGGCATTTTAAGCAATTTTTGTAGCTATTATGTCTTAATTTTTTTCCAATTAGAGTTTTGGTTTTTTTATTTCATAAATGAAACGTTTTCAGACTTACGTTTATGTCATATTGAGAGTATCCTTTAAATGAGATTTGAAACTAAGCAATTGTTTCATAAATATCATCGTTTTTAATTTATCATGACCAACTTGCAGAAAATTCAGGGTTTTTCTTTACTTAGCTGTTAACTCTTTAACAAATAAAGGTGGAAAAAATTTATTTAAACTTTTCTCAGATGACATTTTCTATCTCTGGTTGATGTATGGCGGTTTGCTCTTGGTAAAACACAGCCTGTATAGTAGCTAGTGGCGTCAAAATATCCTAAAAGTTGAATTGGATGCTGGGATTACGTTGGATATTTGGAAAACAGTACATCGTAATACTTAGGTAAATAATTTATAATAAAAAACTCAAAACGCCAACAAGTTTCAATCGATAAAAGAGCTTGAACGTCAAACGCCGTACTTTGTAAAGATTTCTAAGAGTAGTTCTGGCCTCATTTGAAAGTATAGAAACATCATTGTACGTATAACATAACAACAAGCTGATTAATTTTAAACTGGTTAATAAAAAATACAATATCAAACAAGTCGAAAAAAATGAGAAAAAACGAAATCATAATTTCAGGAACTAGATGCGAGATAAATGATTCGGTTAGGACATTTTTCAAAATTTTATAACTATTACGACAACACTGATTAATTTACTTTACATTAGATTTCAATAAATAAGCTTGAATTGTATGCTCAGATTACATTAGATATCTTTGATAATTCCTCGGGTAAAAATGAAACTTTTTTACTAATTTCTTTCTAAGAAACAGTACATTATATTTAGGTAGAGGATTTGTAAAAAACAACTCAAAAAGTTAACTAGTTTTAATCAATAAAATGGTTTGAACGTCAAACGCCCTACTTCGTAAAGCAAAAGGGTGAGTCTTGAAAAATCATTAGAACAATAAACCGATTAATTTCTAAATTAGGTAGTTTACAAAAAAATGCCATATCAAAAAAAAAACAAAACAAATATGTAGTAATAAATGATGGTCTTTATTAAGACAAAGTGAAAGAAGACAAACCTCCAGAACAAATAATATATACTAAAACTACATAAATAGGTAACAATAATTGCTTAAAATTAAAAATGATAAATAAAAAATAAAGATGATGGCAAAGATAAAGAAACAAACCAGAACTTTATAACAACAAATTAAAAATGAAATGTATTTATTAAATATACAAATAATTACTTTTCTTATATAAACTGTTATTGCAAAAGCTTCGAAACGTACCTCCTTATTATAACCTTTTGGCCAGCGTATGATGTCAAGTTTCAAACTTTTCTCCTTTGATGTTGGAAAAACGTTGGTACTCTTGAAACATGAAAATCGCGCCTTAATTGAATCGAACTGCATTTCATCAAAACTAGGATACGGTATTCAGAAAATTAATCACAAGTTGCAACCAAACAGTGCTTTTACGACACGCTTACATCTCAAAGTTGTTAAAAACAAACTTTTAGCTTGTGTGTGCTCTAATTGGTTGGTTGCAGTTTTATGGGAATGAACAAAATATACACATGCATAGTTTGAAATT